TATATTTTACTAGTAATGTTGTAAAACAATGACCCAAAAAATGATTTTGCATTATTTGTACTTAATATTGAAGATAGTTTTTAATTATTTTTTTACTGTTGCCACGTAAACGCTGTTTTTCTTAACAAACTACAATTACCATCCAAATTAAGATTTTTGAATCACATAATCCTTCGTTTTTTTGAAATAAAACTTTTCAACAAACTATAATTAAACTAAAAAAATAATAGTGTTATTTACTATATAAAAACAATACTTTATTTTTTTTTCGCAAAGTTTTAAACAGATTTAAACTACATTGTTATTTAAAATAAATTATTATTTTATTAATAAAATAAACATCATTTACTCTTCAAAAAAAGATATGAGTGAAAATCACTCACTCAAATCAAGATGATTTTTAACATAAAACTATACTTGAGTAGCAATAAAACTATAATTTACTTCCACTTTACTCAAGAATCAATCAATCATTTTTGACAAAAAGTGCGACAAAGAACCCCGTCATCTGATCGAGTTCGGGATCAACCCTAACACAATCTTCATAACTCAACTCGTCGTCTATCTTTATTCCTCTTCTTTCCCAAGAAGGCAATGCTTTTTCCAATTTGAAGTCTTTGTTTTGACTCAACACCCGTTTGACAACCATCTCGTTTTCCTCCACGTTGACGCTGCATGTCGAATACGTCACTTTCTTCACATTTTTGAACTTAAGTGCATGCAGCACAACTGACGTTTGGAATTCCGCCAATTTTTTTAATCGTTCCTCGTCCATTTTTTCGCCCAAGTTTTTCCGTTCTAATATTCCACTTCCGCTGCATGAAGGATCGCACAAGATGTACTTCACCTTTTCGTATTTAGCGTCGTTGGGATCTACCATTAAAAAGTCGTTGCAACTCACTTCCACGTTTTTCGCGTTACACTTCTCAACGTTTTTCTGTAACAACTCCGCCCTCTTTTTGTCTTTGTCGAATGCATAGATCTTCCCCGTGTTTTTCATTATTGCAGCTAAGTGTGTAGTTTTATTCCCCGGTGCTGCGCATGCATCAATGCATTCGCTATTTTCCTCGGGGTTCAATATGAAAGCCGGAAAGCAACTTGGCTTGTCTTGTGATATCAAACTCTCAATTTGTAACTTGAGTGGTGGGGTGATCTTAAATAAGAACGGTATTTCCTTATCCGTTTCAACTGTATTTGTGATACCCGGAAATTGTGTTGTAACAAGTGAGTTCATTCGATAATATTTAAAGAGTGGTGTCGTCGATTGAGTTTCGAGTTTCGGTATCGACTCCTTATTCGCTAGTATCATTCGCTTGATAGCTCCTCCTCCGCTTATTCTCCCAGTCGTCATAAAGTCGTTTAACATCACCAATAAAGTGTAATGCTCTTTAATCGTTGAGAAGTCTTTGATATCGCTGATGAGCTTTTCAATGACTTTGGAGTCTAATGGTGAGTAAAAGTAATGGTACTATATATTTATACTATTTGTACTATAATTTTTATTATTCAATGTCGCAACACAAACTTGAGAGTGTTTTCGAAACAATGGCCAATATCACTGTTTTGTTCTTGATTTGGTCGTCTTGGTAAATAGCAGTTTTCACGCTACACTTCTTCTTCAAGACTTTTTCAATAACCTTTGCGGCCTGTTTGTAGTTCAGTGACATTGTTTTTTTTCCAGTTAAATAAACCCTAATTCTGCAAGATACAATCTTTAATCATTTTTTGATTTCTGATGAACTCAGTTATTACTCCTTGAACTTGAAAAATGGTATTTCAATCTCCTTCGTGATTGAACCTTGGTGGAATGTTATTGTATATATCGTATAATCATATTATAGTAAATAAACCATAACAAAGCATTTAAAATAATGAAGCATTCTTTTCAATACATGAAAAAGGCAACACCGGCTTTGTGTCATTGAGTTTTATAGCAATTTCATAGCAGTCTTGTGCCTTTTCATTTTGTTCCAAAAACTCAAAAACGCTTCCCATTAACTCCCATGCTGTTCCGTCAAACGGTTGTTTTGAGAGGTACAGATCGAGATTGAGAATTTCGTTTTGACACGCGTTTTTGTCGAGTTTTTTGAGGTTTTCCTTCGCAATCTCCAAAATGGCTTTTTCGTTCCCGTCTTTTTTTGCTCGCTCAAGAAGATCCATTTTCCCCATAACGTCAATTTCCTCTACAAGTTCCGTTCTTAAAATCTCAAAGTCTGACGGAATAACTGGTTCCAAACCATTCATTTTATCCAGTTCTATTGAATGTTCATAAGAACTGACCCTTATACCCTCCTCTAACGCCAACCGCAAATCTTCCTTCATATGTTCCTTCTCAAAAATTATAGCGGCTTCTTTCCACAGAGAAGCCGGGAAGGTTTTACCGATAATAGAAAATGCCGAGATTTTATCGGTGAAATATAACTTGGATTGCACAAAACTCATAGCAGAAAGTCCCGAAGCTGCAGTTCCCGAAATGCTGACTCTTCCACTAGACATTGCATCGGACCCGACGGATGGTAAAATTGATGGTAACATTTTAGTTTGGTCGAATACGTCAAACTTGAAACTTGAAAAGGTCTCCTCGAGATTTTTAAGAGTTGGTTGAAGTCGGAGTTGACACACTCGCAGAAAAACGTCATTTGGATATCTCTGCTTCGCAACCTTCAACGTCGAAAGGGCGACGTCTATTTGTTTCATTGAAGTCAATATAAGCACTGCAAGTCTATATGTCGCCATACTCGGAAGGGGGACCGACAACAGCGGTCGAAGGACTTTCAATGCTATTTGTGGCTTTCGTAATTCGGCGTATAACAACGCGACATGATATCGAGCTAAAGACGATGATTTGACTAATGGAAGTAAGTCTGTAAGAGCTGTTATCGGCTGGTTACCGGCCGACTCTGCTATCCCTCTGCCTCGTCAGTATTTACTGTACTATATTATATAGTAAATTTTGGTATAATAGAGAGTTGGTTGGTTCAATACAATGTATTATATTTATAATTCAAATTGTTATAAAAATATGGAAAATCAAAAAATGGACAAACCGATAGAGTGGAGGAACGTCGTCGGAAATGAGCGAGTGAGATCGATTTTGACAGAATAACGAATGATAAAGGAGCACTTTAGAGATGGGAAGAGGTGCCTAGTTGTGAGTGAAGAAGTCCATAAGCGGATGGTAAACACCAACAAACTGGGCGAGTTGTGAGTGTGGAAATGATTGGAAGAGCCTGTGAGGTGAAAGAAGACGAGACCATCAACAGCGCGAAGGACACCCATCTATCAATCGGCTGCGAGAGAGGGACTACTAACCTTTCGAAGAGTCTGATGAGTAAAGTTTCCATATGGCAATGTGTGTATACCAACACAGAATACACGAAGATTGGTGTTTGAGCCAATTTCAAGATGTCCTTATCCTTCACAATGACTTCGATGAAGTTAAGCGAGAGTAAGACTTCTTCGTACCTATTCTGTGGGTTATACATATTGCCAATAGTGGGAATTGACTTCATAGGTTCATACGTCTTATCCGTTGTATGGAACAATAAAAGTCTTGAGTGGAATAAAAGAACGCCCAAACAATATGTTTGGTCGAGTTTTTGAAAACCCGACGCACTGATAATCCCACGAGTTTCTTGAAGAAGCTGCTTAGGTTCGAGAGTGATCCGCTTTTCCCAACTCTCTGGTATTTTTTGCTCTGATTTTGTCATTGAAATTATCATTTTAAGTTGGCAGCTAAAAAATATTTTGCAGTTCAACTAAAAAACCATTTTGAGAACCGATGAATGAATTGTAGTGACTAACGTCCAACTTTGCATGAGGTTCGACCTGATTGACTGTTTTGTAAAACGTTGGACGGACTGTGCTGTGGCTCTGTCACCACACGCACTTTTAATAATTCCTTTTCATAAACACGAGCACTCGCTCGATAGGTTTTTTATTTGACAGACACAATATAGTTTTTTAATAATCATTTAACTATTTAATAAACTGTATTATAATATTAACATTATTTATTATTTAATAATTCTTTGTATTATATTATAAATTACCATGTTGTTATATTATTACTCTTTTAATTAATTAATAATAATAATTTTACAATACATGTGTACTATACCTTTAAGTAAAAAAACTATAATAAAATAACAAATTTCACACTCTGACAGTTAATGATTAGTAAAAAACCCTAATTATTATTAGAATAAACCAATAAACCAAAGTAAATTAAAATGAAACTATACAACAAACAATGAAAAAAATGTATAAACCCTTGTGGCAAACTCTTTTCAAACAAACCTAATGAGCGGACGTGGAGGACCAAGAGAAGGAGGACGTGGAAGATCATCTGAGCGTGGCAGCTTTGGAGGACGTGGAGGAAGAGGTGGCTTTTCCCGTGAAGGAGGTCGTGGAGGTTTTGGTGGAGCACGAGGAGGCCGTGGAGGATCCTCCGAAAGAGGTTCCTTTGGTGGCCGAGGCGGAAGAGGAGGAGCACGAGGTGGACGCGGAGGAGTAGGAATGAAGAAAGGAGGAACGACTATTCGTGAGCATGCACGGTTCCCTGGTATTTTCATTGCTTCTGGCAAAGAGGAGCAATTATTAACGATCAATAGAACCCCTGGTGAGTCTGTTTATGGAGAGAAGCGTATAGTAAAAGAGAACAATGAAGGAGTTAAAGTTGAATATCGTGTATGGAATCCATATAGAAGTAAGTTAGGGTGTACCATCTTGAAAGGGTGTAAAAACATGAAGATCTGTCCGGGTGCCAAAGTGTTGTATTTAAGTGCTGCATCAGGAACTACTGTCTCTCATGTCTCTGATATCGTTGGTGACAATGGAACAGTCTACGCCGTCGAATTCTCTTATCGCCCAGGAAGAGATTTGATTA